GTAGTACTTCAACAGTTATGAAATGGGTGAAAAGGAAACCTGGTACTCAAAAACATCCCTACAACCTAAATTAGTTGACTCTGGATACATGTCTTAATTTCCAGAAACCTGTAATACTACAACACGAAAGGTCTGTACATATGCCAATATTGATAAGGCAGCACTGAAATGGCTATTCTACAACTGTTTTCTAAGATAAAATGTATTCTTATTTTATAATTGTACCAATTAAAGAAATACTAAGGCCCAAACACAAACTGAGTTCTTTTTGGTGAAACTATGCTGGGAAGCTCAGAGTGCACTCAACCTGCTCCAACAGCAAAGAGGCACTCAGTCTGGAGGGCCAGAAAAGAGCCAGGCCGAAGGAAACTCAGAAGCGTGCAGCCATCAGGTCCTCAGCACCGACTGCCCTGCTCTACAAAAGCAGTTTGACAGGGCTACTCTCCCTACCAGGCGGCCTGTATTGTCAAGCATCCACCTCCATCAGGGTTATTTCACTGAGCCTCAAGAGGCTTGGCTTTCTTTAATATTCATCAGCACGAGCATGACCCTGCTTCAGCCCAAAGAAAGTTCTCCTACACATTCCAATTTCTTTGATTTCTTCCATCCTTTCCTTACTGTCTTACCTTCACTGAGAACCAAGTTAGGCAACTCTTCAGCAAACCACATTTGGTCCAGTAACTATCTTGCTAGGCCTACAATCTACCTACTGATCTCCAAAGACAAAGCTGTTTCTAAAAAGACTGCCTAACGTGAAGTTTCTGAATTTACACTTTTTACTAAGCAAGTTACCCTGATCTTCAAAGGTGCAATGACTTACACCCTTGTGAGAGGGTTGCAGTACAATTAAGTTCAGCTTCAGATAATCAACTTGTAAAATGTAGATCATGTCGCAGTAGACAAGAGACAGATAGCCTAGCTTCCGTTCTAAGGATTGATTTTGAAAAAGGGTAGTGGGAATAGGTTTCATGCTATCGTTAGGAAGGTGGAAAAAGTAAACACAGCTGATCTGCACGGTGAGATCCTGGCATCCACTAAAAGAGAAGAGTACGTTATCACGTATGCACTGTATTTCTGAGAACGAGAACTTCTTATGGCTAGAAATACTCAGCCAGTTAAGTAGCAATCCAACTGAGCGAACACTGGTAAATTAATTAGAAAGTAGTCGTTGACACCAACACAGATCTTTCGTGATGTAACTTACTGTGACAGGAGCTAAAGAGCCTCCAAACCAAAGTATGGTTACAGAATGTTACTAAAAACACTTGGCATTTGTTACAAGTCAGCATTGTTAAGTCCTGAATTCTGAATAGCCAGCACACATTACTTTTGCATAGTAACAGTGCATCTTACAACATTTTAAGCAGTCAAGTATGGGCTATGCAATAAAGATCAGGGCATATCAAGTTAACCTTTCAAAACAAACTCCTTGACCTTTGTGAAGGAGAAGGCTTAAAGCCTTTTCTCAGTAGTCCCCTTTTTTGCTTTTTTATTCCAGTCTTCTCTGATCTTCTCTCATTATCACTTTCGTTTCTCAAAAGAAACAGTAGGGAAGGGAGCTGAAAAGTTTTGCTAGCAGAGTACCCAGCAAAAGTTAAAAGGAGCAGACCAGAAAGTTTAGGAGCAAGATTTGTATGGATTTCTGTGAAAAAGAAATAAGGCAGGCCAGAAAGAATTAAGGAAATGGATAAAAAAAAAATCATAAGGAGAGTGATTTCCCAAACAAGTAAAACCTAAAAAACCAAACAAAAACCTCAAAACCCCACACAAACCCAAACAAAAACTCCAAACCCATAAAAAACCCCAACAAAACCACCACCAAAACTTCTAAGATTAAACTGTATGTCTTGGAATAAGAAAGGTTTGCTTTTAAGGACAAGTATTTTGAACCAACATTAATTTTCTTATTACTAACAAAACTATTTCTTAGGGCTTGTAAGGGATGAACGGCTTTCCGAGACAGAGGGTTGCACAGCTGTTCTCAGGAAGCACTGAATTACATACATTACATACATTCCATGTATTACCACATCAGAATGCCTTCCTGTAGACAGCTAAGCAGTGCAGCTGAGCTGCTATGTCTAGCCTTTCACAGCAGCTTATCTTTCTTATCAGTAAATTTAAAAAACCCAAGTATGTTCAAGTTAGAGGGCTGAGATGAAAAGAAAGATCTCTTACATTTACGTCCTAACACTTGCGCTTGCTAACAGAAAATTGCCCAGGAGTCGACAGGCCACGCAGACTCCCAGCGTGCCTGTGAGGAGCTACAGGTTAACCACATTCCCAGACTCATGTCCAGAGCACTGGAGAGACAAGGCTAGAAAGAATGAGGCTTCAGACATTTACCTGATAGTCCCCACTTGGTAAAGAAGAGATGTAGAAGGCAACACCTTGTATGCGAGAACAACGGCCTCATGTTTCAGCTGGAAACGCTACAGTCTGAATATGCATAATTTAATGCAATTCATAAATACACAGGAGGGCGGTGTGCTTAGCGCACAGAAATAACAGCACGTAACATTGTGTGAGGTGTAAAGACCAAACTCCCTCAGTCACTTTCAGTCAATCTATTGTCTTTCAAGTTCCCACTTAATGCACACACCTCTAGGAATCTGGAGGGGGAAAAAAAAGGGAATATTCTGCAAGGAAAAAAAGGGAATATTCTGCCTCATTTAAACCTCTAGAGCAATCTGTTTCGTTCTTAAGGCGCAACAAACTCATACATGCAAACTGACTTGCAGGATCCAGGTAGAACTCATTTACTATTTTAACATCCTAAATGTAACGGAAGAACCGGATTGAAGACTGACAGCCACTGGACCCTCAGAAAACAAGTCCAAAGAAGCCTTTTTGCAGAGCCGTCGATGCTTTTGTGCAAGATTGCTCGTACCCAGTTTAACATTGGAGCAACTCAAGGCTGCAGCAGCTATGGTAGGGACCTATGCCTGTACGCCATGGGGGAGGAGAGGTGAACATGCAGACATCCCCCCAAAGTTTTATGTTCACAGAATGAGCACGAGTGTTCTCATAGTGAAAGACAATGGCTGATGCAGTAACGGGGGGGTGTGTGTGATCATTTCCCTAACGACACTGTCCCCACTCCTTCTAACAGGTCTCCATCCATCCCAGTGTCCTCATAGGAGAGGAAAAGAAAGAGCCGCTGAAGAAAACCAATCCCAGGCCAAGAAGGGGAACAATAATCAGCATAATTAAAGGCTGTTTTCAGAAAGGGCTGACTAACCACATCCAAAAATCAAAAAGTAAAAGACAGTAGGGTACTTTCCTCAGATTTATGCGTGGAACAACAAAGCAGTAGGTTCAAACAGCTTCCCATGATAGTAAAGACAATCCATAATAACAACAATAATCAGAAAGTCATCAAGGTCCAGGTTATTCAATAAAGTCAAAGGTATATAGATTTTATGTAAGAACTTAAATTTTCTTTGGTAGACAAAAATTAATGCCAACTTCAGATGAAATGTTTCATTTAAATAACACATACAAGTGAACCAAAATAATTACAAAATACTTATACTCAACAAAATGTTTCCAACACTTATTATTTTTGTTACCATCTAACCCAATGCAAAGTAAACCAGCAAATTAACTGCCCCACAATTCAGCGTTTGAAACAATCTCATTATTATATATGATTTTTTCCTCCTTTATATTTGATTTTGTATAGACATCTAGATTCAGAGTTGACAGAAGGCCAAAGGTGTCAAAGAGAGACATGAAAGACAAGTACTTTCATGACAAACTGATCTGTCAGAATTATAGCATCCTGTAGGAAAGATTTTTTTTACAGTAAGCCTTAGTTCCCTCTAGCAAAGTAGGGGAGTTAAAATTAACTGTTAATAATAACTGAAAGCACATGAAACTGTTCTGTCATTTCAGACAGGTGCCTTTGCTCCAAATATTCCTCTGTGAAGTGAGCCCTAGAAGGCATGCTTACAGAACATTTGTGTGCTTTATATGCTAATGGAGGGGTGGGTGGGGGCGGGAAGAAGCTTTTGCAAGAACTTACATATTACATCTCCCACAGGAATTGGCTAATCACTCAGTTAAATACAGTCCACAGCATGCTCACTGCCAGTCTGCTTGCTTCTCAGACAAGGGAGGAGGGATTAAAGGGGAAGAGGTGGCATGACAAAAAAAAAGTTCTTAGCATTAGCTTAATTTGTTAACTATAGTACATCTTCAAAGTCATAAAGTTTATTAAAAATTATTAAACAATTTTTTATACACAGATGTTAAGACATTTCATATTAATGATCTGGTAAGCTAGTGAAATGTCCTTTCACTGTGTTTCCAAAATACAGCTTTCAACCATATACTCCTTAAATATCTGGAACAGTAGCCCAGTTTATTAGAAAGTGTAACAAATACATGCAATTAAAACAAAAAACAAAACCAAAAACCAACTTGGCAAAGAGGTACCATTTTATTATAGTATACAGTGCTACTTCCATTGGAAAATGGACAAATACCAAATGAAACAGAGAAAAACTAAAATTTCTAAGATGTAAAGACCATCAACGAACATATTAAGTTGAAAAAACTAAATCGTGGCATGTTGTGTATTTGAAGTTTTATTGATGGGAATGCAAATATAACCATGGCATATCACAAAAGCAATTCATAACATTTCCTTAAAAGCAGTTCCTTAAAAACATCTGCAGTCATCTACAACAAATACACTGAATATTGGAAACCTTGTATCGTAAATCAAAACATTCCTCTAGAAGCCTATTGTAGAAGGTTACTAAAAAACCCAACATCAAACTTTACAATTAAAAAAACTGCAGAAATATCTAAAAATGGACACGTAAAACCAGTAGCTATCTCATGCAGCTGTATTTCAGGAAGTGCTGATTATTGTCTCTCAGGAAAATAAATATTCTCATTTGATCAAAAAGTGTTCCCCCCCAAAAAGGGGCATTTCTTGATGGCTAATTATCACCTAAAACTCAAATGAATGCAGATGTTTATTAGTACACTTTTTTTTTTTTTAAATATGCTCTCCAGTCACAAGGTTCAATGTAATTCATCAATGTGCATACCTGAGGTGCTATGTTGTCTACATTCAGTTTTCCTGGAAGAGATACTAAAAGAAAACAAGTAAACACGGTATATTTTAGCTGAACTGTTTGTTTTCTTTAAATCATTCTTCCTTTCCAAGGAACGTGCACACCTACTGACAAAGTTTGTAAAAGAATGCCATACATCTTTCATTTATCTCTCATGTCTTCACTGCTTGGATCTGATCTGTCAATAAAAAGAAACAGCGTCTTAACACAAGATGAATTCTTGCTGTAGTTTGCTTTTTGAAAACACAATCCGGTATTGTCCAGGTTACAGAACTACACCAATAGATACTTTGGTGTAGTGACAAGAATGGGGGACAATGCAGCTAGAGCTATTTTAAACTTGCTCTCTCAACCACTTCTGAAATTCAGCTGAGTCGTTTCCCCCAAATTTTGCTGAACGACAGGAAGACTCTTCCACCCAATTCATTTTTTTATATTTTCAGGCTTATAAGGTAACTTTAATGAGAATAAGGCCTAGAATTTTGCATTATGAAGTATGCATTTCAATTCCTTGTACACATTTCAGCTTCCACATAGCTGAACATGAACTAACTTCCCAACGGTAAAGGATTTAAAGTTTGTTTTTTAATAACTCGCATGAAAGCTACTTTGTTCTCAGTAGCCACACTTCTCCATACTGGTGCCTGATTGCCACTTCAAACATCCTTAGTTAGCAGAAGTGTACTTCATCCCCATTAAAAAAGTAGAAATCAGCACAATTTCCCCCACTAACAGAGAACATGAGCTGGGTTTAGACTGCTGTGAGCCAGGTCAGTTCTACCCTACTGGTGATGTGTTGCTGCAATAGTAACCCCATTACAAAATAGGAAAATATGCAAAACCAGCCTTCACTAGGAAAAAAAAGGCAAAACCTTCTGCCCCTGCCACCCCAAATTTGTGAACTACCTGTAATGGGTCTGCAAAAGGTAACTAAAGCATGGCTGTTGACAAGGAGAAATGGGCATTCATTAACCAGGTGGCATTTCCTCCCCTGAATTTTGTGGCACCCACAGGCTGTGACTTTGGGAGCAATATGACTTAAGAGTTGTTTGAAATATTTCTGTCTGGTGCTTTAGGAATGAGGAGGAGAATCATAGTAAAAAAAAAAAAAATTGTTCTTGGAATACCAAAGTCTTCATCCATTAAAAGTGTAACTGCCAAACCACATGTGCTTAGGCAACAACACAGTTTAAACTCTTGGGGACACTGAGCCAGGGAGTTAAAGGAAATTCTTTCAGATAAAGCCCATCCATGAAGAATTTCAGCCCAGAAGACTAAGAAGTTCTACAATACATGAGAAGTGAATAGCTATGAAGAGCTATGTGAGTGACAGCAGAAGCACGTGCTTACTGTGCCTAACAATCTCCATATGCAGCTTAAGTATTTTTGTCAGGAAATACATAGACAAGCATTTGAGATCCTTGTAAGTAACTCTAAGCTCCCTCAAAACTGACAACTGACAATCTGGACTGCAACTTAGAAGGTTCCTCAAAGATAAGCAGAGACCCTGAAAATCACAGGAAAATATTACAAAATCAGAACTACTAACAAAATCAGATTAGGAAAAAGTACATGGGTTGGAATCTGCCTCTATAATAATAAGATAGAGCAGCGAAAGAAATCCAGTAGTAAGATGTTGGTTCCCCAGCACAGAACTCTTAGATGGCTGAGGATGCATCACTGTAGGGCAGTAAATGTCTTTGTAACTACTATAGCATATCAACTGGTTGGAGCGAGTCCAGAGGGGGCCACGAAGATGCTCGGAGGGCTGGAGCACCTCTGCTATGGGGACAGGCTGAGGGAGTTGGGCTTGTTCAGCCTGGGGAAGAGAAGGCTCCGGGGAGACCTTATAGCACCTTCCAGTACCTGAAGGGGCTACAAGGAAGCTGGTGGAGGGGACTTTTACAAGGGCCTGTAGTGACAGGACAAGGGGTAACGGGTTTAAATTGAAAGTGGGGAGATTTAGACTGGATATCAGGAAGAAGTTCTTCCCAGAGAGGGGGGGGAGGCACTGGAACAGGTTGCCCAGAGAAGCTGTGGATGCCCCATCCCTGGAAGTGTTCAAGGCCAGGCTGGATGAGGTTTGAGCAACCTGGTCTAGTGGAAGGTGTCCCTGCCCATGGCAGGGGGGGTGGAACTAGATGGTCTTTAAGGTCCCTTCCAACCCAAACCATCCTGTGATTCTATTTTTGGCTAATATCCCTTCCTCTGAAAACAGGACCAAACGTTTTCGTATTCTGTAATAACGCAGTAAAATAAACCATCACTTTCTAATTCGCAGTAAGGGTTCTTAGTAGAAAGGACAGCCTGCTATCCCCAGATACGCGGAGGCAGGTTAAATGGGGACAGCGCTGATGTTACTCGGTGCTTTCCGGAGGGAGGAGTCGAGCGGCACTGCCTGGAGCGCCGCTGACACCTGCCGGCTGCCGCCCCACAGAGCAGCCGGTACCGGGACACCGACCGCCGGTTCCCTTCCCACCCCGCTACCGAACACGCGCACAGCATACGCAAGGGAAACTCGGGACCTGCAATTACAGCCAGTCTAGCAAAGCAATACCACACTTCACTATTCTATACACTTAGCAGGACACGGCAGGACAAGAGAGACCAGGTCCTTACCACGGTGCAACAGAAGGATACACAGCAGCCACACCAAGGTTGTCACTAGAAACGCGCATGTGATACATCATCTACGCTGGGTCTGGTATGGTCTATGTTGTTACGGGTGTCTGCATATGCTACAAGTGCTATAATGAAACTGTTCTTATTTTAGCCCTTGATTAAAGAACCAAAGTTGAGGAATCAAAATTAGCGTCTTTGTGTACTTGGCTTATTTTTCTAGCCTGCTTATTCACCGTTTCTTGATACAAAATATAAAATTATGTAAAACCTGGACAGGACAGTAAGAATAAATTAAAGAACGAACCGTACTACCACAATAAATAAATGGAAGTGCAGGAGTACCTGGTATTAGTATTGTTTACAAGAAACTGGTAAAGAGTTTGTGAGAGTGTGCACTGATATTACATACTAACTACTTTTGCCAGGGAAACTTCACCTTAAGGAGGTAAATGAAAGGCAAATATGAGAGAGAGCATCAGTACTCACTGTGTAATTTGATCTGACAGCAGAAGTGGACAAAAAGAAAACAAAAGGGATAATAAAGAAAAAACCTTACAAAAGGGAAAAAGCTTAACAGGATGAAAACAGAGCAAGAGAATTACACATGATATACCTTGGAGCCAATCCACACCTTCTTGTAATCCTTCTCCTTTAAGAGCGTCACTGGCACTGAAAGAAATCAAGTTACAAAAACTCTGTAACAATTCCAGGTTTAGCAGAGTGATCACTACACTTGTAATTTACAGAATTGCAGAGCAGCATCAACTACAGTCCTCCTAAGTTTTCTTCACATGGAGAAGTCTGCTTTTCAAGTCATGTTTTCTAGAATACCTTCCCAATACGGAAACACGATTTCAAGATGTGACCTTTTTTAATTCCAGTTTCAAGGCAGAGGAATAGTTCCTAGGGTTCTGGAAGAGCTCCCACACAAGGCGGCCACATCGTTCTGTGGCACCTCCACTCGGGTAACTCCCTCCTCAGAGGGTGCTATAAAGGATGTTTACTACCTACAACAGTGATGAAGCAGCACCTTTCCTCCTCCCACACAGTTCCTATGCACAATGAGGATGTTGGAGGAAGAAAGTACAGCGTGTACACGCTCCATTGTAACAGCAACCCTAGGAGTGTCTGTTAATAGATATCAATAGTAAGCTACACCGAGAACAGCGTAAGCCTACCCTTTGAATCACAGGGTGGTAATGAAGTCCCCTCATTGTGCAGCTTATGAAAACTAACACAGCAGTGAATCTGGACTGTTACTGTGGGTAGCTATAAAATTATCTTCCAAGGAGCTTGGGGGTCCGTCAGTGTAATTTCTGAGACAAAAAGCAGTGACCCCAAACCAACATCCAGGTAATCAAGTTTAATATTGAAAGGTCTAAAATGAAAATTGTAGTTTTTAGCAGCATTTAGCTTCCCATTTCACTTTTATTTGTAGCATCTGAGGACAAAAAAAAAAAAAATCTGCCTTCTATAAAACACTTTTGATAAGAGTTTTTTTTTCCTTGTGAACACTGGCACAAAATCCTTCTATTTATATGAAAGCTTACATCCTTCAGAAATAAAGGCACTATCTCCTACAACTGAAAAACCCCCTCAAACATTACATGGTACAAAGAGTATGGTGTCCTTCTGAATTCACACGAGAACAGTTTACTAAATGGCCTTTCAACAGTAGTGTACCAAAGCACCTGGGAGTGGAAAAAAACCAGCTCTAAAGGTTTTATTGTTGATATTCTGAAACCTGCAAGGCAAACGAGCAGTAGCACTCTGATAACAATTCTACTCAATTTCCCAGCAAAAAAAAATAACAGCAGCTATTCTTCTGATAACAGCACAGCTTTCTGATTTCACAGGAAGCCCTCCATTTCATTTGGTAACAGCTCTATTGTGAAATTTTTCAATATATGGTTTACATTAATGCATTGTGCCTTTACAGCAAGTTTCATAGCAAGTATTGTCATATTCCTACTATTTCCACATGTGGCAGCACAGCATTTTATCTGGTTGATTTAATTTATGTTACATAATACTGAGTGGCACGATAGAGCTAATATATGAACATACAAAGTAATACCAATAAAAAGGTAGAAAAAAGAAAATTTACCAGATGTGCCAGGGCTTGTCTTTGATGTTTTCTAATGACAGCAGCTGAGATACTTTCACAGATGATATTGCATCCCTGAGGTCCATCTTGTTAGCAAAGAAGAGAATAGGCAGTCGACGGTGCTTAATATCTAGGCATGAGCAGAAATAGAACTATCATGACATTACACAACACTTGCTAATCTCTACAAGTAATAAGCTACAAACAACACAGAAAGATATTTTTCTCACCTGCAATTGCAATTCTCTGAAGGTTGAATCCTACCAGGATGCACACTGTTGGGTCACATGGCCTCTGATGCATGCTTCAAGAACGTTCACAAGCTTTGTGGCAGACTTTAGGATCTTCCACCCCCTCTCCCCTACCTTATACACACATTTAAAGCTGTAGGTATGAATTGCTGGTAAAGCTGCGGAACAGAGAACTGCCTACAAATGCTGCACATCTCTGCTTAGTGAGGATTGGATGTGTAAAACAGGAAAATGATTTGTGTTCATTTTTAACCTCGCAACAACAGTTATAAAAAGGGTAGCCTGAATTATCCTTTAGCACCCTGGAGCATCCATGGCTTCATAACATAAGAAAAAAAATGCACACCTGGACATCCCTTATCCTACCTTCAGCTGAACAAGGACTTCTTTTCCAGAGGCTCTTCTCAGCTAGCAGTGAGGACTACAGACCAAACCAAGTGCACTGTCGATTTCTGGCATACTTGTATGTTCAAAAGCATAAGCCTCACTGCTTACCACAAAAGACTAGAGAGTCACTGACAGGGAACAAAGTCTACTCTCTCCAACCTGTCAGATGTAAAACTGCCAGAAAATTGCCAGCAACAAGACTAACTTTAAGAATTTTTTCACATTAACTAAACAAAGGATGAGTTACATACAGGATTAGAGAAAAATCTGGATTTGAGTCTATTAATCAGTTCTTGATGGGAAAAGAACTTCCCTCACACCCCTTCACCCAATGAAAACTGCTATAAAGGCTCTTTTTAAAATAGTAAAGAGAAGAGGCACAGGAACAGGTTGCCCAGAGAAGCGGTGGATGCCCCACCCCTGGAAGTGTTCAAGGCCAGGCTGGATGAGGCTTTGAGCAACCTGGTCTAGTGGAAGGTGTCCCTGCCCATGGCAGGGGGGTTGGAACTAGATGGTCTTTGAGGTCCCTTCTAGCCCAAACCACTCTGTGATTTATTAAAAAACTTCAAACATAAGTTTGAAAGGTGGGGGGGCATGGAACAAAACAAACCGCAACAGTCAATGCTGAAGGGGGCTGACCCTTCCTAATTAGGTCCTTTTCAAACCACCGACTGAACATTTCCACAAAAATCAGTGGAGACAACACCCATACTCAGAGATCATGAGCGCTGACCAAAACACTGATGATTTTCACTACTATTTACCCTACCTAGAGTTATTTTTGCCTCCGATATCCTCTAACACAAATCAAAGGCCTCAAAACACAAGCACAGCATGTTGTTTAAATATGTTGTGGCACCATAGTTGAACAGCTTTTGTGTCTCCCAATTGAAACTTCTACATAAATCTATAGTGTCATTTAATGAACCCTGGTATCCACACGCTGCCAGTTATGGGTAAATTAAACCCAAAGAATTTAGTTGGCATCACATACGCAAACAGACATATTTAAACAAGGAATTTTCAGCTTTTTTTTTTTAAGCGATTGAAAGGGGGCACAGCCTTCCACATAAACATCTTCAAGTGTACATTTATGAGTCTGCTAAATAAAGTGGAAGTTGCAGAAATTGCCATTACTTCCTACATTATGACATTGTTTCCTACTATGCAGTATTTCCCTTCACACACTTTTTACAGTTAATAATGGAAAGCTAACGTTTCCTAGTTGAATGCAGCTATGAGTTAACACATTAAAAAAAAAATCCCAGACACAATGTGATGTGTAATTTTAGACAAAGAATTTAAAATTTATAGGAATTTAATTTTATTTTAGAAGCATGTGCTGGAGGTCAAGTGACCCAAGAGTCAATACCTAAACCAAGTAAGGTACAGATTACCATCTTGCAAAATGCTGAATAATTAAGTTTGACTAAAAAATAATACAGTAACAATGATCATTAAACAAGCTGTTACGCGTAGAGTGCATCGTCCACTTACGTAAGTAAAAATAATTCCAGCTCTGAGTCACAAACCAGTCCCAGCTAGTACAACTTCTAAACCCGTTAATGCTTCACGGTACATATTCCCTTTCACCTGACACCCTCAGGCAGTCCGGAAGAAAGAGAGGGAACTGTTTCACTGAAGGATTGCTAAAATATTCAGGGACAGGAATTGATTCAAGGTTGTTACCCTACACCCATTTAAACCTTAAGTAAACATGTACATCTAAACAACTCCAGGAGGTTTACAGACGCAGAAGCATAGATGGGGAGAAAGTAGGGTATGCAGGAAGAACAGCAGAAAAACAATACAAATTAAAATATTGATATAGTAAACCAGTTAACAGCTACTTTTATCAAACATCACTACTAGGACAACTTTCTATTCTCTTTGGTTCTCCTAGGTGTGACCTATCAAAATCTGAAACAATAAACCAGGAACACTGTTGCTGCATTTGAGCTGATCTGCTGCTCCAAGGCAGAAATACAAAACTGCCCTTTCCTGGTGCTAGGGAATGTGTTAGGTGGCCATAGCCATGGTCTCTCAGAACTAGAAGATACAAACACATCAACAAGTGAACGTCACTGACCTGCTAGATCAGCATCAATAACTCTTTTGACTTCTAATAAACCAGTTACTTGTTACAGCAGCCTTCAGTTCCCACCCTTGGTCCTTTGTGCTTTCCATTTTACCAACAGAATTGCCTTTTACCACTGTGCTTAATACTTGCTTTGGTATAAAATTCCCTGGCCATTATGTAATAGGCCTGCAGCCTTTGGTTCACCTTATCTTCCCTTTTGACCTAAGACTGTCTTTGCAGTGTCTGCGTCTGAAGTGGCCCATACCCTTGAACATGAAATGAAGAGGGCCTAGACACCTCACACATGCTCAGCTACAGCATCCTTGTTGAAGAACTCATCTATTATATGCAGTCTTCACGGAAAATAAAATCACAGTAATGGAATTATCCCTATCACATACTACTTTTCTTGGTTAGACATGCAAGTCAGCTTCTCCTTTCTTACTTTCAGCATGGTAACCCCACAAATTAAGGCTCTACCATCTCAATAAATAAATAAGAAATTAAAGGATTATTTCTCTTTTTGATTTCCTGCATGTAGTTTTATAATCTGGTGAGTCAGAGCAAATTCCTAACGTGCTGAAAGTCAAAATAGCATATCGCTTACAAAAACATTCCAGTAATGTTGGCTATATGGAAGGGTGAAGAAATGAAGAATTGACCAATCTCAGAACTTAATTAAAAAAAAAAAAAAGTAGCCTTATGTAAAAAAATAAACCAACCAACCAACAACCTTAAAACCAACCCACTGATCATGAATCCTCTCCTATTCTCTTTCATCCCATGCATCCTTTTACAGGCAATTGAAATTGACTGCTGTAATTACCCATCCTTATTTCTGGCTAAAACATAATAAAAAGACAATGAAGATAAAAAAAATTAAAAGCCACAGTGAAACAAGAAGCTGTCCACATGGAAAAATCTAGACAGAGAGATACTTCTTGTAGTGTCATCACATATGGGATCTTCACCTTCCAAAGGGTCAAAGCCTGTTCTTCCTCAAAACAACGCAACTTTTGGTCTGTATTGATTAATAAGAGATCAATACCACTCAGTATAGCCAACTGAAGGATGATCAGCTTGTAAGGGTTGCTTAGATGTTAAAAAGACCCCAAACTTGTTGAATACTATTCTTGTTCTAGTATTCATGGATGGCAAAAGTATTTGTAAAGTACTGAGAATGCAGAATGTGTTAGATAAAAAAGGTTTTTCTTAAGACAACATAACAAATAGGGAGACAGAAGGGGAAAAAAGCCTCCTCACCTGGATGATTCAGAAGGGTGTCAAGTTCTTCTTTGGCTACAACCATTCTTAATTTGTCACTGCTATCAATGACAAAAATAATGGCTTGGCCTTCTCTGCATAACATAAAAAGAGTGAAGAGGCAAATTATAGGTTCTCTTAAACTGTAAGAAAAGGCTTCAGAAGAAACACCAAAAAAAGGCAAACCAACCTGAATTTTCCCCCCCCCCCAAGTTTTTATTTTGTTATTTACCATTAGCATGTGAATCTAGTCCTCCTCCTGAAATTCAGCCTTTTGGTAACCTGCAGGAGTTTCTTGAGCCATGAGGTTGCTAGCTGCGTGACTTATACAAGGTTCAGTCCACACAGACCCTTCAGAAAAGCCCCATTTCACTACTGAGGCTGAAAAGTGAATTCTGACAATGTAACCAACTGCTATTCCGACAGTGTGGTCGAACAGCAAAAGAAAATCTCAGGACAGGTTTTTGTAGAATTTCTTCATTTCCTATACTAAAATAAGTTAATGTAGAGAAAGATCAATCACCATTTTAGGAAAAAAAAAAGTGTCCACAGCTGTTTAACAACTACACACAAGCAGATTAACCTACCTGTTACAAAAGTCTGCATAAAGAGGATCTTTTTATTGAGTAACAGGTTAGAACTTTCAACTATTTCAAAACATTAAGACATTTTGCTGGCAACATGACCACAATCACAACATATATACATGCTATTCAACTCATTACTTCAGGATCTTACTGATATTTATGACTCGACGTTCCATTTACTGAAACTTACTCAAAAGCAAAATAAAGTTTGACCAATTCAGATAAAGAGTTACGAGCAGCCACAAGAAAGTATTTTCAATTTACATTTTAATGTAACATTCACTTCCTCATTTTACGTTTCTCTGAGACACCATTATGTATCCATTCTTCACCCTTCAGCACCACCTACATGGGTATTTTGATAATTAACAGTCCTAGACCTATGGAAAACCAGAAATTACTTGACCAGCCTAAGACTGTATGAGAAGGTCCACTCTTTTCTGGAGTACAGGACTTCTTTAACAGCAAATAAAGCTTTTCCATATTAGCTGAGAATGCCTAAGTATTTTTTATGAGCAGCCAGTATTTTTCTAGAAGAATTGGTATCCTAGCTTTTATTTACTACCAAAACCATAACTTCATCTGCAAGTAACAGTAACAGGGACACAACGTGAGTTTACATATATTCAAGACGCGTACTTTGAGGACACTCTAGAAGATAGTTTCAAGCCAAACAGAAGAAAAGGGTAAGCTTCAAGTCTTCCAAAGCAATCAGATTTAATTGCCATTTTACAATTCTTGCAAAATTAAATCTAGCTTAACTTTATAAACTGAGTAGCTTGGTTTTTTTTTTTAAATCTTAGAATAAGAAGTTAATATGACTACTGCCCTGGATCAAGAACAGAGGTGGACAGAAGTGCAAATTTCACTGTCAGCATTACTTAAAACTCCCTCATTGTTACAATGAAAAAAGCAGTTTATGCCAAACAAGGGATAAGTTACTGCATTAAATACGGCAGTCAGAAAAACTAGTTACTTATGAAGCACTCAGCTAGTATTTTGAGAGCAGCCTAAGGGCATCAGTTACTGAAAGTTGTTTTGGGAGACATACATCTAAATCTTGAACAATGAAGATCTACCCACACAGCAAGTTTTCAAATTGCTAACACATTTTGCACAGAAAGGTGATAAAGAGTTAATCCTCCATTAAAGAATACCTTCAGCTCTATTGCATTCAATATTAATATTTAATCAATACTACAATCTTCAGAATTTTTCCGTTCTGTTTCTTCAAGCTATTTATGTGTGGTTTCCTAGTGTTCACCTTATTTGGATCAGCTTCAGGTATTATAGAATAACAATGAGACAATATAAATGAAGATCCAAGTTTCATTAGAAGCCAGAAAAACAGAAAACTATGTCCATTACCTATAAGGCAATACCATAGTGTTGTGAAGTACAGTGAACATCCTGCTTAATAAATAACATCTAAGAAAACTTAGCCAAGTTCTTAGTTACATATGCCTCATTCTCTGAGGTTTATTTTCACCTCTAAAAAATCTCAGCCATCAGCTAATATCTTTTGCTCCAAAGTCACTTACGTACAGAAGAACGGAAAAATAGGAAACCTACCTCACCTTGGTCCTCTCTTACAGCACTGTTTATTCTGGTTTCAACATTTAAATCCCATCTCTAGTATGCTACCCCAAGCTCCAAGTCAACAAAATGTCCCAAGAAGCATACTAATTAACAGCATATAAAATTTTCCAATTTTCAGATCAGAAAGAAAAGTCATGTTTATCCAAAATGACCGTCTGTCAAATACCAGGTATAAGTCTTCTCTGAATCATTTCTACCCACCAGATATTACTGTACTTCTGTTAAAATAACATACATGACAGCTAATATGAACAGCAGTGCTTTAGAATAAATGATACACTTACTTGTAGTAATGTTCCCAGAGGTTTCTGTATCTCCCTTGACCTGACATATCAAAGACTGTGAAAGACAAACTGCAAAGGAAAGAAGCATATAAGGCACAGAACAAAACCCAAACTATTTTCTTTGCTACCTTAGCAGAAAAAAAGCCAGATCAACTTGAAGCCAAATCAGCTGAGAAAGATTCCCCAAAGGAACTCTGGTTAATCTATCTGCCTTCATACTATCCTACCCAGTTTTGCAGTCTTATTATAGAAATATTTCAAAATGGAAAACGTAGGTTTTTTTATTCTCTGAATAAAAGAACTAACCCAGTTATAAAAAGTTACATCAAATACAAAATAGGCTCCCATTCAGCCTCACTTTTTATAATTAGTATCAAATATTGTCTATAATATTGAGTAAATGAAATTCAGATGAGCCATAACTTAAAATCCATAGCTGTCTTAAATTCTCTCCCTAGACAGACATGATTAGCATCCAAAGGCTTCTGTATGCAAAGTAAAAGGCTTTTTTTTTTTTTTTCTTATGCCCCGTGGGGGGGGGGGGGGGGTGGAAAAATCCCATTCTGGTAATAGGTTACCTCAGGTGACCAAGCTACATGAGGGTGGTCTTTGCAACTTTGAGATTTCACCTAAAGGCTAAATCCAGCAAGTCAACTTAGCATTACAAAAAATTCTGACCCACTCCTGAAATGTCTACAGAGGCAACATTGACTTCAATATTGGGCTTTCCTGTTTTGGGTAATCCCAAAGAGCTCCCTAAGCGGAGGCCACACCAACACGAGGAGGAAGCTCTCCAAGCATCCCTTCCACTCTGTATCCGGACATCATCTGACCCTAGACTAGCTCCTCTGCCATGTATACAGTTATTAGCAACCCCCAAGAAATGTTTTGATTCTCATATTAATGATGTTTGGGGATGGGCTGTGGATTTGTTGGGGGTTTGGAAATTTTTTTCACGATTCTAGATGATGTATTTCCAGGTCATCTCATCCCCTCTACAGGATCAAAATAAAGGTAAGCGATATACATCGATTTACATTCTCGCACAGCCAAACCCCAAATCTGTCTTATGTGCTTTCCTGGGACAGAATACAGTTGTTAAGTCTCCCATAAAAATAGGAAACCTATCAATCCCACATGTCAGCTCAAGGAATAAACAATTTTCTTGCAGATCTGTCACCCATTGGGACACACTGCTTGGTCTGAAGACTAACTGCACCCATTAGAAATACACTGCGAAGGCTTCAGAATAATAAAATATTATCTAATGCTACCACCTTGAAAAATCTTTGTCTGACAACACTCCTCTATCTCAGCCTTCATTCAACTAATGATTTCTTCCTCCTTTCCCTGACCTTTTCCCCTGCTATCTGCTAACGCTGTAGCCGCCATTTTTCATGTAATGGGATTAGACGGCAGTCTCTTGAGAGTCCCTCCAGTGAGAGTGCTTAACGGAATATAGGTTAGGATCTAAGCAACCGCCTCTCCTCAAGGCTGCAACAGTGCCCTGTTCTGAAATTCTTAACAGACACAAATCAGGTGCTTATACACACTTTTGCCAAACCACCCTTTTTTTTTTTTTTTTTAAACACACACGTACATAGTTTTATAGCAGCACAAAACATACATTATACTCTATCACTGTCAGCCCTGGATCATGACTAGGACTCCTGGGTACTACAACATTTCAGCAAACTGCATGTCATGTCATGATACCACCACACATCACACTCAGGTACATCCCACTGAAAGAGGTAATTAAGTCCAACTATTGTATATTCATTACTAGTGCTAAATGGAGAAAATGAAAGAAACTACTACCTCGATGTTTTGAATTTCTCTATACTGAATCCTATCGTTGGAACGATGTCCTGAGTTTGAGCCTTTAAGAGAAAGAAAGTACAAATTTCAAAATTAAGTGAGAAAACCTAAATATCAAAACATATTTGAAACATGAATACATTACAGATCTGACAGTAAAACCAGTTTGGGTTTTTCCCCCAGACTGTGCAATACAAAAACTTTCTACAAATCCAGATACTTTATATTATAAAAGTTCCCAGCAAAGTACAGTAATTCAAAATCAAGGTTTTGTATTCTCTAGGAAATGCAGCGAACGCTATTGGACACGAGCACTGAAGACATTTCAGCCTTAAAAGTGAGATCACATCATTTACATCAGTCTGAGTCCACACAAATGCGTGGATATTAACTTATTTCCTATTTATTTCATAGGTCACATGGAAGATAACAGCTTGAAGATCATGACTGGGGGTCAAAGTTCACAATATTTGTGCACTTTGGAAATCACGACGACAACCCAAACAAGTCTGCCCAATACCCCAAGCCTCTTAGATAAAAGAGGCTAGTATCTATCAAGACACTAGATTGGCCAGTCCCAACTGCTGCCAACAGGCTGGAGGCATCTATGTGACATTGGGAATTATAAAGCAGGCATTACGCAATGGCCTAACCATAGTTCTCTTCACACTACCAGACCACTGGAAGAAATCACCATTTACCACAGAGGAATTGCCAAAATGCAAAGCATTATTCATAGATCTGTCTGATAACCACGTTTGCTGCTGAGCAAGCCAAGGAAACTATCAGCTAAAATGGTACAACAGAATATATCCTTTAATAGATCAATGATATTGAGCAGGAAGAAAGGTCACATTCCTTAGATTACAGAGCTGTCCGAGAAAGCCCCATGCAATCCTTTTGCAGACTTTCTAGAGCCCCTTATTAAAAAGACTGTCTATAAGCAGTTGACTCCTCACATAGAACTGAAACAAGCTTAACTTGTTCACCTGCAGCTTCGTTACGAAAGCAGCCTTCCACCATCATAAATAGTTTAGTCAACAGTTCCCCTCAACCAGGAAAAACTGCGTGTGGAGTAGAAGAGGTGTCACTTCTTTAACATTTATTTCAAATGTATTTATCAGGCCCAGAAGAAACAACTGCAAACATATGGAGAAGCACTCATATTTGTCGGACAACTAATATGTGGCAAAGCAGCACTTCTTAAGAAGGCCACATTGATTCAGACCTCAAAAATCATCTGTCCATTGAACTTACTAAAAATGGACAATTTAGTCACGACTGATCTGATGAAATTTGTTGCACATTAGAGAAAGTCATGTCTTGGCAAGGATCGGACTTACACAACCTGTACGCAAAGCTACTCTCCTAAAGCATCACATTAGACGTCGACTTTCAGAAGTAAATTCTCATTACAGTTTACAGAAAAGCAAACAAATTTTATTTTTCCACTTGTGTAATTCCCTTGGGACCTTCTCATATAGCTATTATTGTGATAAAGCCTGAAGTCTGCATTCAACTCTAGTTAGGAATCCTTTACTGCTTAAGGCATGACATAAAACCCCTGCTACAAGGAAGGTCTTAAAAATTACATGAATATATAATTCGTCTGGTACAAACTGTAGCAGTTTATAGACTTGGTTTATAAATCTATTTAATTTTCAGTGGAATTGCTAGGAATGGATGAGTAGCAGACTCTTTACCAAGCTACATTTTTTAAACAATGTCCAGTGGTCCCCTTCAAGAAAAGTTCAACATAAGTTAAAAACCAAAAGCTGCGTCCTGATGCAAACAGCAGAAATCACAGTGTCCCACACGCATATAACCCAGACGCACAAGCCTCTGGCTTTGAACATGCCTACCAAAATTCATCTATTTTTATTCCACAAACATACCTAGAAACAAGGTAAACCTGCTTTAAGTTTTGCTCAGCATGTTAGTCACTCCTAGTAGCCTGCAAAATACTTTTCACTGGATGAATGGCCTGCAAGTATAAATGCCTTTTATTTTTAAAGCGATTCTGTTTTAGAAAGGCTGAAGTCACCATTAAGTGTGCATATTTTAATGATTTCCTATTTTATTGTTTATTATATATGTACTTTTTCATCACAAAGATATTAAACCAAAAATAATAAATGTAGACAAAATGTTATACAACTGTATTAATCCCAAATGTTTGACATCACTCATAACTGCAATCCTGTAGGAATTAGTTAAGTGACTCAAGCAAGCTGTTTCAGATCCTGATTTCAGCCATCATAAACCCTTCCTTATCGGGTAATCTTAGAAAATACGGGTCATACTAACGGTGGTTTTTTTGGTAAATGTTTTCATAATACGCTTGTGGATGCTTCAATTTAGTTTTTAGCTAGTTGGAAATTCTTAAAATGTGTTTGTTCCACTGTACTAAATCAAAAAGCATTTCACATCTTTTCCATGGTCACATTTAGTATAACAGCATACAGGAACAGCTCAAACAAACATCAACTCTGCAGTAAAGACGACAAAAGCAAACTGAGTAGGCTACTTACATTGGAAGGTTTAAGTTTATTTATGATGGTTGTTTTGCCGCTATTGTCCAAGCCAAGGCACAAAACGTGAACTTCCTTTTTCTTCAGCCCAAGCCATCCCGCTAGCTTGTCGAAGAGTCCCATAATTCTGGCTCAGATACACAGGGATCACCTGTTGTTCAGGAAATCAGAGAAGGAAATAGCTGTTGGAAAAATGTTACAAGTACAGCAGCGCGAGCACAGTAGGTGGGCATGTGGCTAAGCGGTCCTTAAACTTTTAAAAGGACAGTGTGAATTAGACACTATACAAACACTGTCACAGCAGGTTTGCTCGGTATACTAAGCAAGCGGAGGGTAAGCTGATTATAGCGAAGAGGCCTTGATGCAAAAGTAGATTGGCTGTTTATAGCCCTGTCTATAGAATGCAGTGTCCTTGATTCACTGGGGAGCAACACTGCCATCATTCTGAGCAGTCCAAACAGAAGCACATCTGCAACGCCTCCTCACCTTCCACCAAACTGAAATAAATGGAAAACCATTACACTTTACTGCCAATTGCCAGCAGTCCAGTCAGTTGTCATAATGTAGAGGACAAAGCAAAACAGTATTGCCCTTCCTCAGCACCCGCCCTGTTATTTACTGAACCCTGAAGTAAATAAAGTACCCTCTGTCAACTCAATTCAAACGCTAATTGTAACAGGCTTTGCCGATACCAACACATATAAATTAGGAACTCATTCACTCCAAATAGAAACTGATCATGACAGATCCAACAGACGTGAAGCCAGACACCATGACATTCACCCACACCTCAGGCAGATGCCAAACTCCTACACCTGCCCAGACACCGACTGAGGTTACCTGCCAGCAGCACACTTGAAGGAGCTTACCTCATGTGTTCCCTTGCTGAACACGCTTTGTGAAGAGGAAAACACTTGTCTATCCTGAATTCCACTAAGAAAAACTTCAGCAACCAGACAGATGAAATATTTGTGAGGCATTCAATAATAAAGCATTTAATTAATGCCAGATGAATTTTGTGGTGTGGGGAAGGCTGGTTTTTCTCTTAATAAAGAAAAGACACAAAGCACTGGACAGATTGCAATCTTAATTGCCCCAGAAAATCATGACGGGATGAGGAAAAGGAAAAAAACCACGCCCATTAATGACAAGTATTTGGTATCACTTCTTCACCAACTTATTATGATTAACTACATTTTAATAGAAACAATATTAAAATCTTTAATAAAGTCACATAACACACCACTTTTGTTTACAATTTTTTTTTTAATAGAGATCCATTTTAAAGCTCTATTAAGTGCATTTTTGTTCAAGACTAGTAGCAGTCTACAGTAGCAGTCTACAGGGCTATGTGCACAACAGATAACTCCTTTTATTTTATGCCCCAGCCCTTTCTTAATATACATACAGTTTTGAAAGCAGATTAAGGCTTACTGTTTATTATCAAATTAACCTGACAAAACCCTGCTCCAAAACACATTACTGTCTAGTCCAATGGACAGCCTTATATATATATATATTCTAGATGATAAGGTAAAGAAAACCCCAACCTTGCAGGTAAGTTTAAAATGGAAAAAGGACAAAATGCAAGCACCTTCTAAAAGATGCTTCTAGGACTTGAAATCCAAAAGCCTAAATACACACTCTTTGACAACAGTTCCTAGCAACATTTCAGTTAATTTTTTTCTAAGAGTTTCTGTAACAGTTGGCAAAACAGTTCTTAAACAATACAATGGGGAAAAACGTAGCCCTGACTTCTCCCCCTGCTCCTTTTCTCCCATTCTTTTCCTCAGCTGCGAGGTGTTATGGCAGTTACAGCCGGCACGGGTTCCTTTTTTTTTTTTGCCAGCTGACATTTTTTTCCTACAGTGCTACCCAGACTATGCTAAGACGTGTCCTACAACTACTTAAGGCTGAGTTTGGTGCAGAAACTTCTTATCAGACTCCACCAACCTTTTTCAGGATACCAAGGCCGCCCAGGCCGCCCGGAGGTCAGCACCTTTCAAACCTCCGGCGCTACAGTCTGTGAGTGCAGGACCCCCGACCCCCACCGCACTGGGGGTGGCTGGGCGAGGAGCCCGGGCCCGGCACGG